ACAAAATGCAGAAAAACTAGATCCTGCCAAAACAAAATGAATAATCGCATGATCCACAGCAAACAACAACAGCAAAAGAGAAGAGCCAATCGCGCCTAAATTTGCCTATAACTGTGATACCTAGGAACATTTAGGGAAAATCCTGTATTTCCTTTTCTTTAGTGGGGAGGTATTTTTGTTCAGAAATAAAAGAGTGACTGGAGAGAGGGAAAAGGGAATTAACCCTGTATAGATCAGGATGAAAAAAAACTACATTTCTTGAGAGCTCTATCCTTGTAACAGTCAATTACCAATATTGAGAGTTAGTCTCCAAAAGATAGACATTCAAACAACTTTTTGTATAGTTTTTATTGAGATAAATATGGCAATCAAAATGTCCATTTTTTGGTACTAAAACAGGATGAATGATGTTGTCATTCACTGCATAAGGAATACTGAGAGTGAACCTGGAGGTTGAGGTTGGATTGGGCTGTAGTAAGAGTTGTAATTCAGGGAGCCAGGCATGGTGGCATAGGCTTTTAATCCCAGGAGAGGCAGGCAGATCTCTGTGAGTTCAAGGTCAGCCTTGTCTACATAGTGAGTTCCAGGCTCTCTGGGGCTACAGGGAGACCCTGTCTCAAACATACACACACACACACACACAGATATAATTCAGGAAGTATGGGAGTATTTCTATGACATTCAAAGATGCATGCAACAAAGGCAAGAAATATTAGTGAGAATAATAAATGTGAGTCCTCTTTGGAAGACCACCTGAAGAAAGGTCAGGGAGAGGAGTCACAAAGCCTAGCATCATGCTTTCTGAAACTCCAAATGGATTGGTTAAGTGGAAGAGAATAAGGTTGAAAAGAGTGATCCAAAAAAGAGGTAATCTGGCATCTTGGATTTCACGTGTGACAGGAAAAGAAAGAACAGCGGATGTGATTAAGAAAGCCAGGTGTGATTTAGAGGTCCAGAAAGATAAGCAGTACCTACTAGAAGTCACTGGTAATCTCTGAGATTCCTATTTCTATAGTGGTGGGGCAAAAGCCAGATATACATGGGTTGAAAACTAAGTGGGAATTGAGGAAATGAGTGAGAATAATTACTCCTAGAATGAGTTCAAATTAAGAGAAGAGAAGGCAAAGACAGTAGTTGGGAAAAATATGGAGAATTTTAAAAGGCTTCAGGAGTTAAGAGGTATAGCTGAGTGATAGTAGAGTACTTGCCTGGCATGTGTCAGCCCTGGATTCTATGCCCAACACCTCAAAGATGGGGACAGGATGAAGATTAATGTTTTGGGAGTCAAGACTTAAAAAGCAAGATAAGGACCAGCTGAGAATAAATGGTGAACATATGGTGTATAATAATATAAAATCTCTGGGGAAATAAAAGATAATACTCTTTATTTCTCTCTCTTTGCTATAGGGTCTCACTATGTAGCCCAGGCTAGCCTCAAACTTGCTATATAGAGTAGGCTGGCCTTGAACTCACAGAGATCCACCTGCCTCTTTCTCTGCCTCTCAGGCAATACTTTCTAAAATAATGAGAAGTAGGCTTAAAGCAAGTAAACGCTATTGAAAAATGATGGGTAGTAAGGATGAATACCCTTTCACAGAATCAGATGTCTAGTTCCCCTAGACAAGGGCATAGTCATTCAATACTTAAGATTTTTTTGTTTGGTATGGAAGTTCATCTGCTGACTATGACAGAAGTAAAAGGACCAGAAATTCAACAGAAATAGAAATGTTCAAGAAGTTGTGCCAAAATATAAAAGCAAGTATAAAACAGAGAAATTCAACCCATCACAAATCCTTGAGAGACTTGACAAATTGAAGCAGTTGTGAGAGTATGAGAGCACAAAATTTATATGCTCCAGTCAGAACCAGAGAAACCAGAAACCATGCTAGCATCTACTGCTATAGTTGCAAGCCATTACAACTGATTATCAGTAGAAAAGATGCTGCAATGTCTGGGGAGATGGCTCAGTTAGTAAAGTGCCTTCCATGAAGGCATGAGAACTTGAGTTCAATCCCAAAGTGCCCACATAAAAACCAGGTATAGTGGTATGTATCTGAAACCTCAGTGCCAGGGGGGTGGGGAGAGAAGAGACAAATTCCCAGAGTACACTGGTCAGCCAGCCTAGTCAAATCAATGAGCTCCAGATTCAGCGAGATAGCCTGTCTCAAAAACAAGGTGGACCAAAATCTAGGAGGCCTCCACATACATACACATATATGCACACACACACATGTGCACATCTGTACAAACATATGCACACACACACATACACACACACACACACACACACACACACACACACACAAGCAATCAGTAAGTGACAACAAGGCTGGGAAGATGGCTCAATTGGCAAAGTACTTGCCACCCAAGTATGAGAACCTGAGTTTAATCCTTGCACCCATGAGACAGGTTATTACCACTGGTCTTCATTACCCATTAAAATTTGATGGTAAGATCCTACTGCTGAAGACACCACATACTTTGATCATAGGACATGGAAAAATAGCTAGAAGCTTCCTCCATACTGGCTGGCTTTTATTGTACAGGAAGGTACCATCAACAGTCTTACCTACCTATGAACCCTAGGAGCTACAATAACCTGGTAACCTGACAAACCTGGCAAGATATGCCCATTCAGATGCAATAGTGACATAATTGGGGTTAACCAACAGCCTTCTAGATGGACTTAAAGCCTGCTCCACAGGAGGGAACTAATGCCTTGTACAGTAAACCTGCCAAGAACCTGTGACTTGTGAGGTCAGAGGCTCTACTATTATTCTGCTAAATTGACATATTATCAAACTGTCACATAAATACTTAATTTATACCCATAGACTAGTATACCCATAGACCACTCTATCAGATAAGCTTCTTTATGCAGCAGATGGAGGTTAAAGGAGAGACTAAAAACTAGCCATAGTACAGAGAATATTTAACTGTGGAGTGTTCAGCCCTAAATGGGACATCTGTACCACAACCCTTGCCCACAAGGGTCAGAGAATACAGTGGAAGAGGGGACAGAAAGATCAGAGGTTGGGAAAGACTGATACAAAATAATGTGTTCTGGACATGACAAGCCTATTTCATTCATGAACTCAAAGTAGCTGTCAAGTATAAGAAAGACCTGCACAAGAGGAAGTCAGTCAACAATCTAGCATGGGGAAGGAATGGGATCACAAGGCCCAATTCCTAGTTGGAGCACTACTGGCAGCTGATAGTCACTAAGGAAGGAAGAGTCAGTTTTCTATAGCAGTGCTGTAGATTGCCCATGCTCCAGTCAATGGGCACTCTACAGCCATGAAAATACAGGCACCATTAAATAAAATTAAAAAAATAATAATAAATAAATAAAATATTTAAGGGGGGCTGGAGAGATGGCTCAGCTAGTAGCAGCCACTGGGTGAAGTACCTATATGTAGGCAATACACGCATACACATAAAATTTAAATAATAATAATAATAAAAGAAAATACAGGCAACATTAATGGGACTCAGTGGGGCAGGGGTGGGGAAAGAAAGAAGAGGGCAAAGAAGAGGAGGAGAAGGAAAAAGAGAAGGAGGAAGAAGAATGAAATGAAGTTCGCAGGAGAATGGGGAAATCCAGGAGGAGTTAGAAAAGGAGACTGGGGGCGGAGGTGGATTTGATCTAAATATATTTTATTTATGTATAAAATTACCAAAGGATAAACACAAATATTTGTTGTTGTTTTTGTTTTGAAACTGGGTTTCCCTGAAGCTCCAGGTGGCCTGGAACTTGATATATAGACCAGGTTGGCCTCAAACTCACAGAGATCTGCCTACCTCTGCCTCCCAAGTACTGGGATTAAAGGCGTGAGCCACCACGTCCAGCACAAATTTTTTCTTTAAGCCAGGCATGCGAGTGCCTATAATTCCAGTGTGAGGGAGACAGAGACAAAAGAATTCCTAGGGCTTGTTGGCCAGCCAATCTAGCTGAATAGGCAAACCAGGCCCAATGTAAAAGACTGTTTCAAAAAATAAAATGGAGAGTAATTGAGGAAGATACCTAATGTTGAACTCTGGCTTTCATACTCATGTACATATATACATGAATACATACACACATGAACAAGTTCCTTCACACGTGTACACACACACAAACACACACACATACAATAAGAATGCATCAAGTGGGAGCTGGAGAGATGACTCAGTGGTTAAGAGCACTAGCTGCTCTTGTAGAGGATCCAGGTTCAATTCCCAGCACCCACATGGCAGCTAATAACCATCAATACCTCCAGTTCCAGGGGATCCAATGCCCTCTTCTGGCATCTGCATGACAAAACAGCTGCACTTACATACATGCAGCCAATATGCTCAAACATAAAATTAAAAAAAAAACTAAATAAAATATTTTTAAAAAAGAATGAATAAGGCAAGCACAACTAGAAGACCCAGGAAGATATCTGCAAATCAGAAACCAGCAAGACAAACAGCAGTAAGACAATAACAGCAAAGTACATCTCAACTTCATTTTTATATGAAGCACACCACTCTTTTCTAATAATTTGCTGAATTCTAATACAGTAACAGCCATTTGCTAGATAACATTGCTCTGCCACTGTTTTACAAAGGAATTCACAGTAAATCTAAAAATAGATGTAGAGAAATAAAGGCATCTTTTAACAGAGCATTTCTTGCAAAATAGTTCAAAATGTTTAAACATTTAGACATATAACAAGGGTATTACATTTACAAAAACACAGAATCAGTTTTCTAGAACACATTTTATAGAGACATAATCAATTTTCTAGAGTCCTACAAAGTAACTCAACTAACAGAGAATCACTTTTCTAGAACACATTTTATAGAGACACAATCAGTTTTCTAGAGTCCTACAAAGTAACTCAACTACGGAAAATTTTAGACTTTTAACAATTTCTATTTCTGGAAATGCTGTGTCTATAAAAGTATGTAACAAGCATTTTTGTAAAACTGAATCAATTAAACTTTATTCTTTAAATGTTTTTCCCTTTACTCACTCAGACTTCTTTTCACAACTCTTAGAAGATTCTTCAATTCTCTTCTCCAGCACTAGGACAGCTTCCTCCTTGTTTAAAATCATCTGCTGTGTCTGCATAAGCTCTTCTGCTAAAGTTTTCAACCTGGAATGAAGAATTTCATCAATAGCAATCAACATATTAAATATGTTGACTTATATATACCAAAAATATATGCACACATAGAAATCTGCAAAACAGTAGCCACATGTAATTTAAGGTAAAATTTCAGTTCCTTAGTTGCTGAAGCCATGTTTCAAATGCTAAACATTAACATGTAGATGGTTTACCTTACTGATGGCACAAATCATTTCAATATGCAAAGTAAGTACTCTTGGGCAGTGTTGGTTCACCACCTTTGTAGTAATGACTTACAACTTTGCACCAAAAAACTACTGCTCATAATGGCACACATGCTCACTTAGTCATGTGCTTTTGTGACCTGGGCACCTGACCCTGACCCCGGGGACCCCACTTTGTAGTCCACTCAAGATAATGAATTTGGGTGTACTTGAGTCAGTATATCAAAGTGCTTGAAGCAATGTATTTATATTCGTATCTTCACTGAAGACAGAATAATTGAGGAGAATTTTGACATTGTGTGTATGAGATATTTTAGGCCTAGGAATCAAAGGGCAAGATTCTATGATAAGGTAAGAATGGGTCCAAGCTTATAGTTCCCCAACTAAAGGTGCTAGAGATACTGTTAAGGAACAAACTCTCAATGTTAAGAATCAGGCAGATATTTTTATTCAGGTACAGTCTTAATGTGGCTTAGTAACATTACAGGTCTTATTTCTTAAAATAAAAAAAGAAGCTGAAAGAAAAAGTGAGAAAAGAAAAAAGAACTGAGCAAACGAATACCGTTCATGTCCTAGGAAAAGCATGCTCTTGTGAAGAGATCACATTTTTTGCTTCAGATAAGCATGTTTGCATTCTGGCTTTGCCCATTTTTATGAGGCTAGGAAAGTTCCTCAGTTCATAGAATCTATGTTCTCACTTACAATTTTGGCATAGCAATACCTACCTCATTAGCATTGTAGGATAAAATGAAGTAACATATATTATAAATTGCCATTTTGGTAGACATTGAGAAAATGGTAATTAGTATTTTTATATATATTACCTATAACAATCTTAGGTGACAGATACTAATTCATTTATTTTATTTTAAAGAAAAGAAAGATGCAGTATTTTAGAAATTTAAATTAATGATAAACCATTTCTATGTTTACATATTCTAGTGATTTAGAGTGTCCTCTATATTAGATTCAAAGATAATTTACTACACAAAATTAATGTATTCACAGGCCAAATAATTTATGGCTGCATAAAATGGATTAAGTCCTTAATGACAGTATTTCTACCAGAAAAATATACATACCCATTATATCATATTAAACCTCATCTCCAGACTTTCAAAGCAAGACTCTGAGGCAGGCACAGATAGGAACAGCCTAGCTACCAGAACAACACCCATGGAAAGTCTATCTGTCCCTTCCCAGAAAGGCAACAATGATCACCTCCCCTCGAGTTATTTGGGTTCAGCCATTTCCTGGTAGAAAGAAAGATAGAAAAGGGTAGCTTAAACCAGTATTGTTCACAGTGTCATTGAAGAGAACAGTCAGGGGAAAAACTTTTTTTACCATCTCATGCATATGCATGATGGGGAATATATATGCTTAAAATCATTGGATGTTCATGCATGCACACTCAGATTTTCAAAAGTTATATGGCAGCCCCCATTTGTCAATCAGTGTAAGAATTCACCCCATTCTTGCCCCTGGGGAAAAGGCAGAAGCTCCTCCTTCTACCTAAATTTATAACCCCCCCCCCCCGACACACACAAATAACTCAAGCTGCTTGCTTGGGCTCCTATTGTGTAGAGTCTAATCTAAGCTGTGACTCTCACTTTTAATAAATCTATACCTCCACTAGTACTATTATTGCATGTCCTTTCAATTCATTCTTTGAGACACAAAGAATCTAGATATTGTACCATGGGACACCTCAACACTCCATCCAAGAAAAACAAAGTCCTAAAGATAGAAAGAAAATATCAAATAATCTAGCTCTATAGAATTTTACATTTATTTGAAGTAAAAGAAATAAGTAAATTAGATCAGAAGTTAAAAGCTTGCAGCACAAATTATGAGCAAAAACACTTTTACTGTAGAAATCTCTTAGAAAGAAGATAATCCAATATGAAAGTAGACAAAAACAGGTTCATCAAGAAAAAAATTCAGGGAATTCTGGGCTCAAATGGTAGACTAGCATTTCATGTGGTTCTGGGTGAAGAGGGTCAGGGAAACAAAGGGGAAATAATATTTCCAAAAAAAAATTCCAAAGAGAGAAAGAAAGGAAATGCTCGAGGAATCAAGCAAGGGGTGACAGGAAACCTAACTGCACGAAGAAGCAGAAAGACAAAGCCAAGTACAAAGCATTCCCCAACTCCAATCTGGGCAACTCAGTAGAGGGAGTTCGGAAAACCAAACCAATGCTTTAAGCACAGGGTGATGGAGAATTCAGGCAACCCTAAAGATAATAGCAGACTGCAGCCCTAGCCAGAGTTGAAGCCCACATTTCCCAAAGCCTTAAATGTAGTCAGGGATTTAAGAAGTTTGAAAATGTGGGCTGGCAAGATGGCTCTGGTTAAGAGTACTGGCTGCTCTTGAAGAGGACTAGGGTTCAGTTTCCAGCACCCACACCCTCAATTCATGTTCTCTAGCAGTCCTGCCCTCTGTAAGGCGTGACAGCAACCGCATGTGCTTTAGCTTAACTGTGTCTGAGAGTGTAGATATCAAGGCTGGAACACTGCTGTGTTCCCATTCTCCCCATTCCCTACATCAGCCTATCCTCCAGTTCAGAAATCAGTGGTCTGCTTCCTTACCTGACTCTTTAGACACTGAAAAATACAGTGCAATGTGGACATTTGCCATGCCTTCTGGTGCACAGCTGAGAGGCCTGTGGGCTGACTGCAACTGCCTGGTCCATGTACATCTGAAGCACACACTACAGTGGTGGTTGCAGGTGAACATACAAAAAGCCTATGGAGTGAATGCAGCGCTGCTGCTTACAACACATGCTTATCCTTCCCAGCGAGGAACTCAGGGCAGGCCCCAGCCTGTGTGGTTGTGCTTGTGCAGAAATACAACAGGCCTCAGTCATCCTGTGCTCCCATGCCTGCTGCTTTGCAGTTATTAGATGACATGAAAAGAAGCTTCTCCAAGTCAAGGACCTTGACCACAAGGAATTCTCAACTCCATTCATTTTGTTCTTAATTATTTTTTTTCTTACTATAACCTATTTTATTTATTTATTTTTAATTGGTTTTCTTGCTCTTTTACATCTCTTTTATTTTTAAAAAAATCGTTTTTTTCCATTTCCTCCCTTTCCTTTATTAATCTTTCAACATATTAGAGACTATATTATCTTTGACCCATTCTTTTCTATTTTTATTGATATTGTAGTTGTTGTTCTCAGTTGGTTCCTACAGTATTTCTGTATCTGATTTGTATCAATGTAGTTACAGTGGCTTGTTTTCTCTTCTCTGAAAACCACTGAAGATGGAGCCCAGAATCTCAAGAACACTGGGTGGTACTTTGCTGCTGAGTGGAACTCCATCCCAAGTGAGGAAAACTGCACTTTAGCTGTGACTTTATCCCACTCAAACCTTAGCAAATACTAAAACTGAAGGGCACAAAACTCCCAGGTGATGGCCCAGCCCCAAGTAGACACACTAGAGTAAACCCACAGTCCTGCTTCTAGACATTTACCACTTAGCAAGAGCAGAGAGAAATAACAATTGTATTATTATATAACATATATCAATAAAGGCTTGGCATGGTGGCACATGCCTTTAGTCCCAGCACTTGGGAGGCAGAGGCAGGCAGATCTCTGTGAGTTCACGGCCAGCTTGATCTACATATTGAGTTCCAGGCCAGCTGGGGCTACAGGGAGACCTTGTTTCAAAAAATGACCAAAAAGATAAAAAACAATATATACCAATAAAAAACATTTAAAATGAAGAGAAACCCAACCCTGCAGACCTAAGAATCACAACATAGAAACACAAGAAATGTGAAAAAAACAAATCAACATGAGTCCTTTTCCTAGTTTGCTTCATGTTGCTGTGATAGAACACTCTGACCAAAAGCCACTTGGGGAAAAAAGGGTTTATTTCTTGGCCTACATTTCAAGGTAACAATCTATCACTAAGGAAAGTCAGGCAGGAACTCAAGGTAGGAACCTGAAGGCAGGAACTGAGCAGAGGGCATGGAGGATCCAACTTGCTAGCTGGCTCACAGACACACACTCAGTTACTTTTCTTGTATAGCCCAGGCCCAACTGCCCAGGAATGGTACCACCCACAATGAATTAGGTCCTCCTACATCAATAAGCAATCAAGAAAATGCCCCAGAGACATGTCCAGAGGCCAATCTAATCGAGGAAATTCTTCAATTGAGGTTCCTTCTTTCCCAGTCTGTCAAGTTGACAACCAAGATTAGTCATCACAGTCCTCCAAAAGTTCATAATTCTCTAGTAAATAAATCACAAAATATATAAGTGAATGATATACTAGACAAAGGTGAATAGATCAAGACAATATAGGATATGAAACAGCAATATAATAAAGAGAGATGTTGAAAAAGAATTGAACAGAATTGTTGAAAATTAAAATCTCAATGAATTAAATAAAAAATTCAGGGGCTGGAGAGCTGGCTCAGTGATTAAGAGCAATGACTGTTCATGCAAAGGACATGGTCATGTTCCCAGCACCCACAGGGCAGCTAACAACCATTCCCAACTCCAGTTCCGAGAAATCCAATGCCCTCTTCTGATCTCTGCAGGCATTGCATGACACAGGTGCATTCACATACATGCAGGCAATGCACTCAGACATAAAATAATAAAAATTAGTAAATATTTTTTGATTTCAGTTTAATTCCTCATCAATAGACTTAATCAAAATAGAATACTTGTATTTGAAGACAATGTAGATGAATTACTACATTCACATAATAATAAAGAAAAAAGTAAGAAAAATTAACAGTATGGGGGCCAACAAGATGGATCAGCAGGTAAAGGCATTTAAATTGCTGCAC